CCCCAAAACCCCAAAACCCCAAAACCCCGAAGTGATATCACCAGATTAAAATTTCCAAGGTTAAACTTTATAAAAAGTTATCAAAAATGAAGCGAGTTTTAATTTCCTAACAAATATTAAATTTTCTGTAATTTTTGGAAAACTACGATCTGAAACTTATGAAGCCAAGATTTTGAAATGGAGTCTTGTGAGGGTTCAGAAACCACAACAGCGGTCTTTAGCAGAGCACAATCACAAGACTTCATTTTGGACAGTTTGCCGGTAATCCTTTTTAAATGTTCAAAAATAAGAGAAATTTTTGCTACTAGACTTCTTGTTATTTAAATTATTAAAGTCAAAACTCCTTGCTAAAGTGAATATTTTTTTCTCGAAAGCCCATAGCTGCTATCACATTGAAAATTAAAGATCTCGTTGATGGGGCTCAATAATAAATATGCCTTCATTGTCGGTTTAAAATATGAACTTTAATCAAGGATTATCGAAGATGCCTGATTTCTTTTGTAGCCTTATCTCTACCTTTATCTCAGATCTCTAATGTCTCTAGACAAATATGGAAGACAGATGATCTTGACATAACTCATTTTGATATGTCTGGAAATATTTCACTTAAAATATTGAGAAATTATCCTATCTTATATCGAGATCGAAGATCAAGGTCTTTGGAGTTTCATCTCTTTTAATTTAATTTGAAATGATAGCAAACTTAACATCAATAGCACCTTAATGTCAACTCCGGTCAAGTGAATTCCGAGAATTGGAAAGAACATCTCAATTTTTTGTGTTTGAGCTTCGTTTAACCAAAAATTTATGATTTCACCTTTCTGCTTCGATTCCATACTTTTAGAGGGTCTTGTTTAGTTATCAAATTTCTACAAAGTCGAATAATAATTGAAGTATCTAGATTGATCCATCTCTAAGCTTTAATCTGAAATTTAAAATTTTGCTTGAAATTTCTCTAATGGACCACAAAATAGTAAACTTCTCAAAAAGTGGAGTTGCATAATAATAAACATTTTTAAACATCAAAGTACTTGCTTCTTAGGAGGATTTTACAGACCCTTGAGCTACTTTTCTTACCTAGTAAATCATGAGCTAGCCAATTAATAAAAATGGGGCCTGAAGTTTATATTGGTAAATGTACTATTTCTCCTTAGTTTCTAAGCTTGCTCTGATGTATCTGAGAGATTCCAACTGAAAGAGCAGACACAAAAATATTTGTCAGGAGGAGTATGCTGATTAATAGCTCTTAATTCATGCAATTAGGTAAGGAAAATGAGTTGTTTCGTAACTACTTCTTTAATATACCACATTTTTTAATTCTGATTTGTTTTCGTCTTCTCTTCATGTGAGAATATCCTTATTTATGCTAAAAAAAATTAAGGATGTCTTTAAATTTCAAGTCTCCAGTCTGGCTAATTCTGGGAGTAATTTGTTATCAGAGAAATTTATCAGACATATTTCCTTAAAATTCCTTTAGCACAAGTTTATGGAGATCTAGTGGTTTAAACTGCTATACCAAAACTAAGGATGAGCTACTTGTACTCAATGTAAATCAATCCTTGCTAATTTATGTGTTTCATAAACTTGAAATTTGAAGAGATTCTGAAGTATTTCAACGCTAAAATTCTATTTGGATTCTTTATTAAATTCCCAGAATGTGCTATGTCCAAGGATCCGAGCATGCATTCAAAAGTTTATGTTCAAGAGGGTTTTCTTTTCAACCCTCTTACATTTATTTATACTATCAGATCTTTCTGGTCATCAATCTCTGTCATTTTAGAGCGCACTCTGAAGAATCTAATTTGTAGTAGCAAATATGTCCCTTTATTAGAAATTTGTAAAACCCAGAAGTGCTGAATTTTAGACAATTCATATCAGCCGAAGCAAGCATATTTGGGTCTGAAACTGTATGAAATTATAGAGATGCATCTCAGATTGAGCATGGCCACCTCAATATGGAAGCTTATGTCTATGTTGAAGATCATTATATTAGAACTGTTAAACATATTTTAGATTTCAGCTTCAAATTTTCTGGTTTATTTTCTAAATAAAAATTTTAGTTTGAGTTCAAATTTGAAGTCTTTGATATTTCAGCAAGAGCTATATAATCTACAATGAATACTTTGAGAATTGCAAAGTAAAACTAGTTGAATTTATTTGCCAAACACTCTTACTCTTTAGAGTAAATATATGTAAAGAGCCCAAAGCCAAATTTTGACAACTCTTTGTCAGGAGCGTAAATAACCTGTAGTGTTCAAAAAATTAGCGGTGAAAAAGAGGTTTCCAATCACCCAATGAACCAAAGACTCTGAAATAAAGCCAATCCGTGCTCTTCGTGTTTCCTAAAAGCTTTAGAGAAGCGAAAGTTGAAGAAATCTGCTCAGACTAAACGTCCCAAAAATTTAGTAAAAATTAGTTGTAACTTCCAATGCTAATTATAGACCCAGAACAAGGCTATTAAAAACTGTTATTAGCATATTATTGATTAGAGTCTGAGCAACTGGTTATTGGCATCTTCATTCAATGCTGATACACTTTGTTGAGGCTGTTCTCAATTGATTCAGACAATTCCTTGTATAATAATCTTGATAGCACCATTTCTAACTTCTTAACTCCAATGTGATATTGATTCTCCCATGCCCATCCCTTATGTAGGACTACTACTGATGGCATAGGAGTGTTTCTTAACTCGATGAAGCAAGTTACCAAGTATCTGAAATGCTCAGACTTTCACAGACGTTGGAAATTCAAGCTTCGATATCTATGTGAGCACTCAAATCCTTTTCTGCCATCCTTCGCTGCTTGGGAGTCAAGCTGTCAAGCATCAGACGAGTTTAAGTTAAGGAACTTGAACAAGAACTCAGCCATGCTTTCTGTTGGAGTTTGAGAAAGATACACCGTAGAAAATTGTTCCAGAGCCTGCAAAGTCTCTCCAGATGGGACATTAGTGAATCTTCTATTTTGAAGCTTGTCGTTATGATATAGGAACAGTTGGTAGAAGAACTTCTTGACAAGCCTCAAGACCTTCCTGTTCTCTATGTCTGGCCTTGTGTTCTTCATTGAACAAAGAGGACTTCTCTTAGTTTCATCTAGAACTTCTGTAGGAGATGAATCCTCCGATGATTTCTTCACTTCCGTTACTAAAGTTGGGTTTTCATCAAACAAGCTGCTGGGCTGATAACCCTGAGAGAATATTTCAGCATCAACTTCACCTTCCTCCATCTGGATCGAGGGGAGTAGAGGAGTTGTATCTAATGGCTCATAGAGATCTTTCAAAAAGTTGAGTAAACCTTCTTCTGGAATTTCGATGAAATTGCTCTAAATAAATTATGAGGGAGGCTCTAAAGTTAACTGTACATTTTAGAAAGCAAATGGTTAATAAGCTTCAAAGTGAGCTGTAGAGATTAAGCTCTACAAACTTTACTAGTGGTTCAGATTGTTATTAAGTACAAAAGTTAAATGAACCAAACAGGAGTTGACTCTCTAGCATCTTATTAAACTCGAAATTTGGGTCTTTTAACCAAGGCTACACTGACAGTAAAGGCTTTCTCGTCTTACCTGGTCGAAGTCCAGGCTGGTTTGATCAAACAGTCTGTCTTCTGGATTTATAGTGGTGTGGTCCATTATTTGTTATATTATTTATAACCCTAATCCTCTTCTTCTTATATGGGGTTTTGGGGTTTTGGGGTTTTGGGGTTTTGGGG